AAACTTCCAGGTTCTTCGACTAGGGCAATGTGCTCCTCCGTTTTAATAACTCTGCGGCCCTTCTCCTGGAACATGGTTTGGTCTTTTCTCCCATCAAAATGTAGACCTTTAATGAAAACGTTGTGATGGCCACCCCCCAGGCCCCCTTTTCTCACTTGATTTGTTCTTGTGTTTTACTCTGTGAAATTGTTATTTTTTTACCTCACAAGTTTAATATTACTTTATTGTCTATACTTACTGTAATTGGCCTTTTTCCTCTAGTAGTAAAAGTGATCGTCTAGTTAATTAATTGATAATTTATATACCCACGTTGTGATAATGTTAATTAAGGTAAACCAGAATGCGATGCAAAGTTTGGTGCAAATTGATAAATAAAACATACAAATTCATATTTAAACTCTTTTTATTTGTCATACTTTAAATGTGATGCAATAATTAGCAAAGTATATTACAATTGTTACTATTTACTGAGATCTCACTTGAGTCCCGTTCAAACGCAGACCATATTCATTTGCTATCAATATATATTTTATTTAGGTTGTTGAGAGTTAACGAACAGCGTCAATTCGCCAGTTGATTAACTATAGTGTTGTTGTTTATATTCTGATTTAGGTTGATGACCAACGGAGTTAACGAACAGCGCCAATTCGCCAGTCCATTAACTATTGTGTTGATGTTTATATTCTTATTTAGGTTGATGACCAATGAAGTTAACGAACAGCGCCAATTCGCCAGTTAACTATTGAGTGGATGTTGATTTGATTCTATTGTAGATATATACAGGTTGCACCCTCTTAGGTAAATATTACGATGAGTATAGAGGTGATGACCAACGGAAATAACAAACAGCGCCAATTCGCCAGTTGATTACCCTACTATGTTGATTTCACATATACTTTGTTTCAAACCTTGTAGAACGGGTTGCTTGGCGTATAGGTGTCCCCCCTTGAGCTAACGAACAGCGTATTCGCCAGTTGGTTAACTTACTTTTAAATTTTACCATCTTGGTTTGTACAATTTATCCAAGATAGCACATCCCTGTATATTTTTAAAATATTGATTTTTATAATTTCTATTGAGTTAACTTAATACAACCCTGTATATGTTTTAATATTGATTATTATAATTTCTATTGAAATAACTTAATATAACCCTGTATACTTCTTAATATTGATTTTTATAATTTCTATTAAAATTCTCAAAATTTCACCTATCGAACACAGATGTCTATCCTGTCTTTCGGGGTGTATGACCTGAAGGCCATGTGGTTTATTGATAATATTTTATAGCAAATGTCAAGCCTGCCCTTAAACGAAACCGGGGTGGTATCTCAAAGAAAGATACGTAAATCTTTTGACTCACCACTGAAAATACAGACATTAGATTATGTACTAATTTCATCTATCGTCGTGGAAGGCGTCGATTTAGGTACGTCGCGGCGTTGGGCGCCGCCTTGCGTCGAGACGTCTAGCGTCGTGGTGGAAAGGAAGGTATTTAATACGGTACTGTATTGGGACAGATATACGGTAGAATTATGTAGGTGGTGCGGGACGTGATATGAAGGAAATATTTATGGACGGCAAACGTCGGAAATAAGGCGTGGGACGTTGAGCGTCGAAATGAGTGTACGGTAGGAAATACTTAGATGGTGAGGAATGTGACAGCGTTCGAGACGTAGGGAATAGGACGGCAGGACGTTGGGCGTCGAGACGTTGACACCTTTGGGAAATAGGAGGTATTGTGGGATAGACGTCGTTTAGGAAGAGCGTTTAGGAAGGGTACAGACTATATAACTGGGTACAGACAATAAAGTGATTGCTTGAATGTAAAATAATAAAATGTATGCTTGCACATCAAATGATAAAAATTGACTGAATCATAGCTCATTTTTGTCTGGCTTTTTATAATAAAAGTTTTAATGGCTTTGTGACGTGTCTATATCTTTAGTTCTCATAGAAATACGGTGGGTTCAGGGGGTGGCTTATTTATTACTTGCCTTGAAAGCTTTGTGTATCGAAATATTGTCGATATCGGTCTTAACATCGAAACTATAAAAATAAGCGAGTTAAATATTTTAATGATAATTACTTCGTGAAAAGAAATATGGTCTGTGTTCCCCGACACGTTCAGAAATTTGAATCTTTTACGGACGTGATTATAGCTATTATTTATTAGGTGTCGTAAATAAGATTTAATTATCTGGGAGATTTTTCGTTAAATGAAGCATTTTAAATTTAAAAGAATGTAATATTGTATTTAATAAATGGAATTAATAAGTTATTAAGGTACCTGGGTGCGGTAGGTTACAACGTTTCTTTTTTAGTTTCTGCTTCTTGTAGCCGCAGTCGATTTTTATTTACTTCTCGTCGAATCTTATTCTTGTCGATGACTTTTACTATATCGTCTTTCGTAATGAGCTTCATATCTTCTAAAACGGCATTCACAATTTTTGCTGCAGTGCGACTAGAGACACCTGTAAGGTCTGCGATTATTGCAGTATGTAACAACGAATGCCTCATTTGAGACATCCTCTTTTGCTTCTTTGGTTGCTTTTCTAATACAAAGTTTTCGTCAGTATTTGTATCTGAGCTCGCAGAGGTATCACTATCATTTTTATTGAATATCGTAGAACTTTCAGTAGCCCTGCTGATATGCTATGAATTCCACTGGGACCGGCTACAGGCTCTTGGCAACACATTTTGAACTCGTTATTATTAGTAGAGTTTTTTCGGTAATCTTTCAATTCGTTTTTTAAGCTTTGCCGTCACTTTTTTACTTTCCTATCTGTATACAGATATAAGGAAAGAATAGGAATCATGATTTTTTTTCGACATCGAGTTTTCGACGGATTTTTACGTTTTGAGGTCCCCTGAATCCGTTTTGACTATGTTCGCGATGATGTCTCTCTCTCTGTATCTGTGTGTGTATGCGTGTGCGTGTGCGTGCGTGCGTGCGTGCGTGCGTGTGTGCGTGTGTGCGTGTGTGCGTGTGCGTGCGTGCGTGTGTGTGTGTGTGTGTGTGTGTGTGTGTGTGTGTGTGTGTGTGTGTGTGTGTGTGTGTGTGTGTGTGTGTGTGGGTGCGTGCGTGCGTGCGTGCGTGCGTTAACAGAGATAAGACATAGTTAATGTCTTCTCTCTGGTATTCGAAGGTGTATTGAATTTTGATTCATCTAGATTTATTTTTCAACACTTTCCAATTTTAAGTATGTTTTCAAACGACGGGAAGATGGATTTCAGCAACAAACAATAAAGCACTCCCATATATTGGTAGTGATGCAATTTATACCACATTAAATATGCAGATAATTTGTAATAAGTGTCTTAAGAAAAATCCACAATCACTGTTTGGCACGGTAAGTAATATTTACAAACTTGTTTTTGATTCAGTGTTAAAATAATTGGTTTGTTATTTAAATTTCTTTTTGTTTTCAGTTTTTAAATGATCATTATAAAGAAAATGTCCCTCCAAAATACCCTGTCGATCGATGAAATATTTGAGCCTCAGCCATCAATATCAAAAATTGATTCAATGCCATTGACATCAAACAAGAAAACACCCTAAAATCTTCAAGGTCCAAAGGTGTGTAAGTTTAATTTATGCTCAAAAGTTAAATTCATTTATCACAGTGCCCACATAATGAATAAAAATTTGATAAATACAAGTGCTGTATAAATGAATCAAGAAAACAATTATCGGATGAAGAAATGCTCCTCAACCTAACTAGTCGACTCGATAACCGTATGGCAAATTTTATCCACATTCAAATTTGCCTCGATAGTAAAAAAGGATGATGCTTCAACTTCAATTTTTTCAAACTTATTTGCCACTCCAAGTCGCAAAACTTTTATAAAGGTCTTGAGCACTTATATATGCTGATTTTGTTACAGAAAACATTTTTGATAGGTTTGTTTTATAAATATTTAATTATTTAAATGGTGTAAATGCATATTTGTTTCAGTATTTCCATGTTTATATAGACAAATTATATGATGCGGCGTTAATTTACTGTAATAATAAAAAAAATAAAATAAATTGCATTTTATTTCAAGTTTGAAATTAATGCAAAAATATAATGAAGTAAAATCAAATAAAGACATAAATTGGCAAAATATTTGACTAGTTTCAAATCACAAAACAGTCAATATGGTTGTTTTATGATTTGAAACTAGTCAAATATGTTTCCAATTTTTTTGCTTTATTTGAGTTTCTTCATTACATTTTTGCGCTACTACAAAGTTCAATTTCAAAAAGGCCCGCTCGTGGCGGCCATATTGAATTTTAGTACCACTCCAATTTGATAGATGGCAGCACATCGACTCAGAATTTTACCATTAAGTTTCCCATCTATTCACATTAGTAATCTATGCGTTCTTCCAGTTTAATATATTTCAGTGGGTGAGAAATAACAATTTAAAATCCTAAATAATAGAAGCATTGTCTAAAATGATAGAAGATATCTGCGCATCTATTATTAAGTAGTTGAACTACAATTTGGAACATATTTTTATTGTAGGAAACTTAATGCGAAATACGAATTCCTCTAATCACGTTTTGCTATATTTCGACAGATGGAGGTAACGTACAAAAACATTTCTTCGGTCTTCTATATTTTCAAGTGGAAGTGGTGGAAGGGATCTCAATTTAGGAATATTTGGTGTTTGAGCGAGATTTGAGATTTGATTTAAGAGAGAGATATCTAGAATGGATGCAATTGTGAAATATGCTGTGAAAATAGTTGCGAATTTTTTACGATCTAATCAAACTACAGTTACCTAAACCCCGTTTCGATATAAACATAAAAAAACTCGCGTTTAAATGTTTCATCGATTAGTGTATAGTGCAAATGTGACTATTTTTGTGTTATGTTATTACTTCCGACTCGAGGAAGGGCAGATAGTTTAGTTTTGTAACTGTAAACACAAGACGTTCCCTCCGTACTTTAAAGTCGAAGCAGATGAATGAGTAGAGTGTGATTTATTTCGGGTTGTTTTAGAAAAATTATGGATAGTGCAATGGAGCGCGAATCTGGTGCTTTAGGTGGATTATTTCAACAAATCATACAAGACATGAAGGTAATTTTTCCTTTGAGATTGCTCTGTATTCAGAATCGTTCCGGTTTGACTTACGAATATAAATATTTATTGTAATACAACTGTTGGATATCCAAAGTGTGTCTTATTGAAGTTCGAAGTTTACTGTTTATATTTCCAATTAAGATGTATGTGGATGTAATATATACATCTGATGATAAACATTAACCTTCTTTCTTCCTACAAATAACTATTCTGAATGAATGTAGGTGCGAATTCTTGATTTTAAGTATAGTATAGAGCAAGCAAATGTTATTGATACTATGCTGTTAATAAGTATGTCAAATTTATTGTAATTATATTACGTTGATGCATAATTTAGATAGTTACCGAATTATTTGCATTTTTTGAATGAAAATAAATAATTTTTGAGATTACTATCATTCATTTATCTACTTTAATAATAAAATATTGAATATTAGTTATTAAAAGTAGATACCTATTATACGGTACTATCTAGGACAACTGAGGTTACAAAATACCTACTACTACCACCTACTTTTAACTTTTAGGTACACTGTTTACAACAGATGTTCAAGTTGATGAATAAAAGTGATTATATTATATTTATTTTTCATAAAGGATATGATCAACGTCCGTGATTTCTATTTAAAGTTTACACAAGAGTTGTAATAAAGTGTTCTAGATTTTTATCAATCAAAAATTTTAGAGCGGAAACACTCATGTGAACCTACTTTTTCCCCTACCTGTTGGTATTTTTTTTTAGCAATTTTAAAGGTTATCTCCGAGGTTATCTAGAAACATTTATGTGATAACAACGTAAAAAAATTTGAAGAATTTCAAATTCCGTGGAATTTGATGACAATAGGTTCAGAATGTTGCCACTGAATAATAAAAAAAAATTACCAGGAAAAACAAAAATGCCGCTTAATTCTTATTTGAGTTATTTGATTAGGAATACCCTCGGGAATACCTATAGCTCAAGGCAATGAAGCGCTCAAGACAAGAGTTACTTGTGAAAAATTAGAATAAAGCTACAATTTGGGATGTTGATCCAATTCGATGTCCTGATAATCCCCTTTTATTTGTTTCAGGGCTATGTGGCTTGAATTTTTTAAATTCGATATTTTGAGAATGCTGCACAAATGACTAGCCTGAAATTAAAACATTCTTGTTCATTCTTCAACTAGAGGATATTTGTCACAATAATACTCTAGCATTTATAGTTTACCCTCTAGCTAGATAGTCTAGACTCTAGAGCAGCCATACTCAACCTGCGACCCTCCAAGCTGTTTTGTGCGGCCCTCCAAGCTGTTTTGTGCAGTCATTCAAGCTTTTTTGTGCAGCACCAAACACAGAAATGACCTATAGTCCTTTTTTGAAACAAATTGTCCCAAAGCTTATTAAAACAATGTTTTTTTTTTTTAGAAAATATGTAAACTATAACAATATTCAAAGCGGATCCCTATTGTCACCCATTGTGCTTTATTTACATTTCAAAAAGGTGGCAACTTTGGTTATCACCCAAAAATATTGTGGCCCGTGAAGCATAACAAACAGATTTATGAGGCTCGAAAGAATTTGTTCTTTCTTCAAAAGGTTGAGTACAGCTGCTCTAGCTCATCTAACTGCAAAAAGTGGCCTGTTGTATTTTTTGTTTAATATTTGAGTAGTTGAGTAGGTACATGTACTATGTCCCGGTGGTGGGAGCTGTCTTGCGACCTGTCAAATTCAAAGTAAAGTTGTTTATCCATGGATTTTTTCCTTTTTTGTTGGCAATGAAATTTAATATTCTTCTAGACATCAATAACAATAAAAAAAATCCCTTTGCCAGCATTTTCTGTTGTCTGGTTTTGCTACTTCCAGTGCAGAGATTTCGTGGGAACAAAACATAAAAAATTAAAAAGGCCGAATAACTCGCTGAATGGGGTAGAACTACTGAATAAAATAATGCTTGCAAGGGCAATACTCTTATTTGAATCATATACACATTTTGAGAGCAATTAAACCACTTTTCGACTTTTTGTCTCCTAATTTTTACACCTATTTTAAAAAACAGATCACTTTTTGTCAGGTTGCAATATATTTTTTTTTTTTTTCATATCAACTCTCAACAATATCATCTTAGATACCGGTGTGAAGTTAGCAGTAACTTTTAGCAGTAAAAATAACTGAAAACACCCGATCGGGAAAACAGTGGCGTCCGACATACGACTATTTTAATAATCTTGTCAATATGTATTTTACGCATTAATATAGACAAATAATTTATCCTATGAAGGAAATCAGACCCAAATTTAATTGTACATTATTTAAAAAATATATGCTATAGATAAACATTTCTTCGGGTCCGTTGAACAGGGTAAAATTACCCCATAAAATTTATGAAATAATTATCTTGTGAAGTGTTTAATATTTAAAAAATCATTAGTAGACTTATCGACTAACATACAGTTTAAGCAAAAATCTCTTCAGACTCGTCAGACGGTAAAATAAACCATTAAAAAATAATTACCCTATGAATGCAATACATACTTACTTTTAAATTAAAAAATAATAAATGAACTAAACAATAAAGGATGAAAGAAAAAATCCCTTCAGACTCATTTAACAAGATAAAATTTACTTTTAAAATTAAAAATACTTATCCTAGGATGTGTATAAAATTTCAACTTAATCTTACATTCATAAAATAAAAAATATACCAACTTAAAAATTTTAAAAAATCCTTCGGGTCCGTGAAACAGGGTGACACTTATAATTAAAAATAAATATTTACCCCATGAAGTGAAAATCCCTTCGGGCCAACTTTCTTTCACAATCAAACATTTTAATATAACACACTGTAAGGGAAAATTCTGTTGGACCCGTCAAAGAGTGCTAAATTAACTCTTCAAAACCAAAAAATAATTATCCTATGAAGCAGATCAAATTCGTAGTTGCTTTTGCATTCAAAAATCATAAATACATTCACCAATTAATAGATTGATCGACTTACCTGTAAGGATGATCGATCTAAATTATTCCAGCTGTTGTCCGTAATGATTATTGCATACTACAGGGTGTAATAATCATGGAGGACAACAGCGAAGAATAATGTACATTATAAACTAAAATCCCTTCAGACCAGTCAAACAGGGTGAAATTACCCCTTTAATTTCAAAATAAATAATTACCCAATGAAGACGAATAGATTCCAACTTGGTTTTACATTTAAAAAATCTCGAAAAAATCATAAATACCCTCACCAAAGAACCCTGTGAACTAAAATCCCTTAGGACCTGTTAAACAGGATGAAATTAACCCTTAAACTTATATATAACTTATAATAATCCTTTGAAGACGATCAGATCCCAACTTGGTTTTACATTTCAAAAATCATAAATACACTTACTAAAATACGCTATAACAGACAATCCCTTCGGACCCGTCAAACAGGGTGAAAATATCCCTTAAACTGCAAAATAAATAATCACACAATGAAGACGATCAGATCCCAACTTGGTTTTATTAAAAAAAAAGCATAAATACACTCATCAAAGTACACTGTGAGAAAAAATTTCTTCTGACCCGTCAAACAGGGTGAAATTAACCCTTAAACTTTAAAATAAATAATTACCCAATGAAGAGAGGTGGTTTGGCTCAGTGGTTAGAGTCATGACTTTGAGAACGGAAGGTCTCAGGATCGAATTCCACCGGTGTCAAGGATTTTTATTTAATTAATAAAAAAATTAAATATTAATTCTAATGCATAGGTAGGATTCCCCACTCGACCATTCACTGTTGGGTTCTAATTAACAGTGCTGCTCCTAAAGTGGCGCTGGGAAACAGTAAGAAAGCCTACATAGAACACGAGGCTAATGGCCGTAGTAGTCGACGCCGATGACACCGAATTAAAAAAAAAAAAATTACCCAATGAAGACGATCAGATCCCAACTTGGTTTTACATTAATAAAAGCACTCATCAAAGTACACTGTAAGCAAAAATATCTTCCGACCCGTCAAACAGGGTTAAATTAACTCTTAAACTTTAAAATAAATACTTACCCTATGAAGACGATTAAATTCCAACTTGGTTTTAAATTTAAAAAATCATAAATACACTCACCAAAGTACACTGTTAGTGAAAAACCCTTCCGACCTGTCAAACAGGTTAAAATTAACTATCAAATTTTAAAATAAATAATTACCCAATGAAGACAATCAGATCCCAACTTGGTTTATATTAAAAAAAGCATAAATACACTCACCAAAGCATACTGTAAGCAAAAATTCCTTCCGACCAGACAAACAGGGAAATTAACCCTTAAACTTCAAAATAAATTATTAGCCAATGAAGACGATCAGATCTCGACTTGACAAGATTATTAAAATAGTTGTAAGCCGGACGCCACTGTTTTCCCGATCGGGAGTTTTCGGTTATTTTTACTGCTAAAAGTTACTGCTAACTTCACACCGGTATCTTAGATCCCTAAAAAACGTGTTTAAGCTATGTCCTGAATTTCGCTGAAAAAGGTAAATATCCGATCACGTGGCTAAAATCCCTACACCGGAAGTAGCAAAACCGGAATTTTTATGGACGTCTAGAAGTATATATTTCATTGCAAGAAAAAATGGAAAAATCCATCGATAAGCAACTTTACTTTGTCTTTAGATCAGAACTGTGAAATTTGGTCTGCAGGCCCTATCGGAGCATGTAGGGTCTTCATAACTTTAAATGAATGCCTAAGAGAAAGGTCATTACCCAAAAATATTGTGTAACATAGCAAACATTATACAGAGTGGCCCAAAAATCTGGAAACGCCCAATTATCTCATAAATTGCTAATCATAATTGTACAAAATTTGGGGTACACCTATTTTGGGATACAGTGATTCCAGATTTGATATTTCCAATGTTGCCAGATTTGCAGTTTCTCTTAAATTATTAGTCACTTTGGTTTTTTAAATTCATCACCCTGTATATTCAGTCATTATTGGAATCTCCTATTCAATACGAGTTCAACCATATGTAACACTTATGATTTTATATAGTCTGGAAGATCTTAAATAAATAAAAATAAGTCTGGCAACACCTAAAATTGTCTCAATAAATTTTTTAATACAAACTATTTTCAACTACATTAAAACGTAACAATTGAAAGATTATAACATTTTTAACATAATGGTTACTTTATCAAGTGTTCAAAATGTGCTCCATTTGTGAGTTGACAGTACCCTAATCGATGGCGATGGTAGAATGTGTCTACCACATTTCTCCATGATTGTTTTATTTATTTAAAACCTTCCAGAATACATAAAATCATAAGTGTTACATATGGTTGAACTCGTTTTAAATAGGAGATTCCAATAATGACTGAATATACAGGGTGATGAATTTGAAAAACCAAAGTGACTACTTAATATAAGAGAAACGGCAAATCTAGCAACATTGCAAATATCAAATCTGGAATCTACGTATCCCAAAATAGGTGTACTCCAAATTTTGTACAATTAGGATTAGCAATTTACGAGATAATTGGCCCAAAGAAAAAAATAGTTGAGCATAGCTGCTCTAGAGAGTAAACTATAAGTACCAGGGTAGTATTATCAAGGGGGTTTTATAACAAATATCATCTAGATGACGAATGGACAAGAATATTTATTTCATTTTAGACTAGCCGATGGCGCAAAAATCGATTTTTTTTTTTTAATGAAACCAGATAGTCCGGGAGGCATATTTACACATCCTCCTATATGACGGCACCGGAGTGCTGAAATCTGTTCGCCTTTGTAACCTACAAGTACGCTACAAAAGCCTATTGATTTAGGCACCAATGCATGAGGCCTCTCTTATTGCTGGAATCAGTAAGCAAGCTTATCTGCATTCTATGAAACAATGGAACGACTTCTCGTAGGGTGGCGGCTTCGCCGCCACCAAAAATATTCATTCACTAGATATGCTAATTTAGGTAATTTCCTATTCGAAGCCATACATGTTTTCTATTATAGTTTTCATACGTTTATAATTCTGGAGATACTGAAATATTTTGCTTGATTACTAAACTTTGGTTGTTATTGTTGTGGTCTGCTGTTAACACTATTGTCCTGAAATATTAAAAAAAGCTTGACAAAGGTTTGTCCAACTCTTTTGCCAGCTTTGTTAATCTATGCTACTGTTATTTTGCATGCAGACATTTTTTACTGGAGATTTTCTCTAAGAACTGTATTCAGTTTCAAATTTCGGCCAGTTTTAGGAAAGTACCTACCTCTGTTGTAAAGGTATTTCAAACCCATCCTTTGTAAGATGTAGCCAACAAATACATGCTAAAATGTATAGAAAACAAATCGCAAGATATTACACAAAATTATTTAAATTATATAAAAACATAAAAATTAAGTGAATAATACCCACCAACAATTTAAAAAGACCTAAAATAAATAGACTTAGGGTACTGGAGCTCTAAAAAAGGGAGCCATAATTTGTTATGCATCCCCATCTATACGAAAATTGTCTTCATATCCTCAATTACCTTTTAAAATAAACCAAAACAGCACAAAATTGAAAGTGATCTATTTTTCACGACGCATTCTATGTACATGTGAGATTATTAACATGGAGGAAAGGATTATTAATAATTTATTAAATTAAAATATTTTAACCTAAAAAATATGGGCATTTTATAATGAAAATGTCATTTTAAAAAAATATTGATTTTTTTCTAATATTGGTAAGCCTGGCGACTACAGGTTGCCACGTTGCCAGATCAATGGGCGACTACTATTTCGAAAAAAATGGCGTCCAAAATGGACTCCTATGTCGCGACCCCCTTAGATATACCAGCCCTGAGAAAAATGTACTTTTTTCAGAAAAAAAAATATTCCTGCTCCAAATTATTTTTTGGATATCAAAACTACGGAAATATTTAAATATATTAACAATGTGCCACAAAAAGTTTTATTCAAATGGAAATAAAGTCCTATTTATTACATTAAAAAATCCTTAATTAAAGAAAACTATAAGGAACACTTTACAGTTTACAATTACTTTTGAGAAATATATGCAGTATTTCGTAATTCACATCTATTTCCTTTAGATCAGGTACCTACTTTATTCTTCATTATAAACCATATATTTTTATTTTACCCCTATGAGCCCCGTCCCACTTCAATTGGAACACTACTCAAATTTTTAGTGTTTGACATTTTATGAGAAGAAATACATAAATCTGATAACTTCTCATGGTCGAGGGTCTGGAGTGAATTAAATATTCACTGATTAACAGAGTAGTGAAGGGTCAATTGACTCTGGATACCTTGGATGTTAATAATATTTATTAATGCCAGGAACAATATTATACAGAAAAAAATACATATAAAATTGTATGGTATAAGTCAGAAGCCAGGATAATCTGTACTAGTTTGATGACCTACAAAGTGCGTTGATAAATTTAATTGTTGAAACAGATCTGTGAGATCACTGGCCTCGCTTCTCTTATGAAACTTCAGAAAGTCCAAATAGTTATTCCATACAAAATTGGAAAATTAATTTCCTAGGACAGAGATTACCTTTACGAAACTTCAGAAATCACAAAACGGTATACAATTCAGAACTTCTTGGGCTATAAAATGATTTCTACAGTCGATCAGGAGAAAAACAAAATAATTCACAGATAGTGAATTAAATAGAGTCACTTTATTGACGGCAAGGCTCAAAAATAGTTTCGGAAACTTGTACTGAAAAGAGGCAGAATTCGCGGGGATCTCGGCTTTATACTTTACGATTGAACAGGACATCAAATCTATTCACCTTATTTTAATTCTGTGATTTTTAACAGCTATAAAAATAGAAAATTCTCTAAAAAATTATTTTCTTTCCAGATTTATTAGTTGGTTTTGTTCTCTCTGAGTATTTTGGAACGGTAATATATGACATGTCCGATAAACTCTTTTAATTATTCAAATTATTCTTTTTCATGAATCAGTAGTAAATTTCTTACACCTGTGGAAATTTTCTAGATATTGCAATGCTGTTTTCTTCCTCAGACTTCTGCGACGTTGCCATATTTCACTATAGAATAGTAGTTGTGTATATTTGAATCGCTGTCTTATTTATTAAAAAAATAATACTGTGAGGTTTGTTAGAATCAGAAATTAAATTTTTGTTTCAGAATGGTATGCCGTTATGGGAGGATTTTATTACAAAGGCTACAAAGCTGCATTCTTCACTAAAGTAAGTTTTTCTAATTATATAAAATGTAATTAAAAAGAGCTATTTTATTTTTAAAACTTTATACAGAAAAGTTTTTTTTAGTATTGAGTCAAACTACTTGTCCAAAAAACAAATTAATCTCATAATTGGGTCTTATAGATAGATTCATTTTTTTACATTGATCTAATGTTAGACGTGAGCAGTCGCATTTAATTTTGTTTTCTTGTTTTTTTAGGGCTACTATTTTAGCTGTCACAGCTTATTTGGATTCCTTTCAAAAAATCGCTGATTCTGCTACAAATACTAGAGGTAAGTGACAATTTTATAAGAAAAAAATTCCAACAATATTTTACGGAATAATAAAGGCCGTATAGGCCAAAACAAGGCGCCATTTTTTAAACACCAACAATTTTTTTTACCTAGCCATAACAAGTAAAATGACAAATTTGTACCCAACATTGTAATCTATGGAACAGAACCAAAATACCTAATATTTACAAATAATGTGTGTATTTCAAAATAGAATATTTATTTCAATAAAATACACATTGTCAGTATGTTACATAAATAACATATTTTAATACCTACATGTATTCCAAAAATTATTAATTTATCCATTTACCATGAATTATTCATTACTTGCAAAATAAATTCGTTGGTTAACAACTGAAATAATTAAAATAAGCCTTTTAAAAATAAATATAAGCATAATAAACAAAGGTCAAAAAAGCAGTCGCAACATCGGTCAGTATGGGTTCGATTATTAACTGGTTTATTACTTAATACGTTACAGAGGTACTTTATTATGTAATCTAATAATACCTAAATAATTACCTTCTATTCGTTTATAATAATATTACATTTATTTTTAATTTAGACGATGGTCTTTTTAATGTAGGTATTATGTGTATGTACGGCCAAGAATATTTATTAGACTTTCAAAAATTAATAAAACTTCTTTAAAAATTATTACTATTCGTAGAAAGAGAAAACTAATGTAGAACAGTCGACATACAGTGCGGCCGAAAAGACATCATCATCAGGTGATAATTGAAATATATGTAGATATTAAAGCAAAATTATTTACGTTCATTTTTTTATTAAAATATTTTTAACGGACCACAATAACTTATGTCTTTATCTTTAAACTACTAAATTTTAGTTTGGTTCTCAATTTACATAGACTTTTTTGGGGTCATTAAACGGTAATGAATTATTGGTCTTCAATTTACATATACCCATTTGTTGACTACCCAGTAACAATTTTAAGAAATTTTAAATTTATATAGGTTTTATAAGTACTTTAATATGTTCAACTAGGCGTCGGAACTCAAAAATTGCTTTGGATGCCCGGCATCCATGCGGGAAATGGGGGCTATCATCCCCATCCTTCCACACCTCACTTAAAAAGCTATTTTAAAGCGTTGATTTTATGAAAGTTTTCTTAAAAAAAAGGTATTGTCAAATGTCCCATTGCTGGATAGGCTGGAGGCTCCCACCTAAATCGGGATATCTGGCAACCCTATATGCTCGGTGCAGCCACCCACTGGTATTCAGTGGTGCTGCGGTGCGAGAGTACCAATGAAATAAGTAGAAACAATATAAAACATTTATTAACTATCATGAATTTAAAAGGAGATTTTTGATTATTTATTAATACACATATAATGGAGTATTTTATATATACAGGGTGGCCGTTTGAAAACAAAACAGAGCCAGTTTTGGGCACCCCAGGTCATTTACGGAAAAACGCTTGGATCCGTCAATTTTTGATTTTAGAGGGAAACATTTTTTTGCTAGTTTCACCCCCTGAACGGAAACACTCTAGCGGGGGTGAAACTCACCCCTAACATCTTAAATGGAAAGAGGGGTCGAATAATAGCTTATTTTGAAGGTATTTTTATACAACCCTCGAGTTTTAAAACGCTACTGTCTTCCTAGCCATGATCTTTTAACGATTTTTATTTTCTGTGAAAGCTTACCAGTTACTCGAGTAAATGCTGGAAATGCTGACCCTGGGCCTCCGTGCAATAATAGAGGTTTTGTTCAAAATGCTCTCGGACATTTTGAAGCATCTGTGGGAGAGATTTGATGACATTCATCAATTAGCCGTTGTCGCAGATTTTCCAGTGATGTTGGCTGGGTAGCATACATTTTAATTATCAAGTGGCCCCATAAAAAATCTAACGGGCTTAGGTCCGGAGACCGTGGGGGGCCACTCAATACTTCCTCTTCTTTCGAATCCATTGTCCTGAAAACGTTTGATCGAAATACTGGAATATTAAGTTGTTTGCTATGTACTGATCGTCATTATCAATCAATTCTAGTAATGCTGGATAAATGGCGTTTTATAATATTTTCAGATACATTTCTGCGGTTAAAGTTCCAGGTAAAAAAGGGGCCAATTATACTGTTACCAAAAATGCCAGCACAAACATTATTTCCCGGATGTTGCGTATGCACTTCCTGAAATATTCTGTGATTTGAATCGGACCTATAACGACAGTTGTGAGTATTTATCGTACCATTTAGAAAAAAAGTGCATTAGTCTAAAAAACACATGTTGAAAAGAAATTGCTGATCATTTATTGCCCGTTTAGTCATAATTTCACAAAATTGTAATCGCCTATCAAATCGTCTTCGTTAAGTTCTTTTACCAGGTGTGTTTTGTAGGGATGAAACTTGTGTTTTTTCAATATCTTCTGAATGCTTCTTCTCTTAATACCAGATGTTATCGCCAACTGTCTTGTACTCAATGTGGGTTCTTGAACAACACGCCCTTAAATCGCCACCTCTGTAGCTTCATTTACTACATCATTTTCCATTTCACGTTATTTGTTTGAGTTTGAACATATTAAAGCAACTTGGGTTTAAAATGAAATGTAAACAGACGTCTGCGATAGTAATTTGTACTTAAAGTGGTAAATAAAACGCTGATTTAGGTCTTGTAAAATTTAAAATGTTCTATAAAATTTCAATCAGTTTTTATCTAGATCTTGCCATGTTTTGTATGAAATACAGACTCCGCCATGATGGACATTTTCAATTGACAAAGAAAAAACATTGAAATATATGCCATTTAGATCGTCTTAAATAACTGAAAAACGGTGTGTCCAGACATGCATTTAGATGTTTAGATGCAAAATAAAATTTGACGATATTTTTTAAATAATAGAAAAAATAATTAAATTGATAGCGGTCGAGTTATGTAGAAGTATTTTATTAAATTTTATCGGAAAAGTGGCATCCGTTTGTAAATTCTTTGCCAGAATAGTTTGTATATAAAATTAAAACTGAATAGTTTATTTAAAATGCATGATAGCACAGTTTTTATGACAAAGGTCTATACAGGGTGTTCCTTAATGACATGCTAATATTTAAGGGGTGATTCTTGGGCCCATTTTAAGGAATAAATTTCATATCGACGTATGTCCTAAACCTCCTAACTTTTGAAATACAGAGCGGTAAAATTTTCAAAAAAAAAAAATAGTTTTTTTATAATAACTGTAATACCCTATTTTAGATATCTTTATGAAGCACACGTCTTTTATGAATCAAGATGCATTTTCTGATATAAAAACAATTTTATTATTTTTAGCAGTGGCGTCCGTATGGGTTTTGCATTGAATATTTTTGGAGAAAAAAAAAATGGTATGCTACTGCCTATTCTAAAACGATTTTTATTTGTTCAAGCGGAAAACATGCGTCGGGCGAAAGAAAATCAAGAGATCAAATTTATTTGCTCAGAAATGAATGAGGATGTCAAAAATAATTTTTATTTCAAGAATAGGCAGTTGCGTACCATTTTTTTCTCCAAAAATTTCAATGTAATACCCGTCCATAACTATTGGTCGGTAATAAATCTATCATTTGACTGAAATGTTCCTCAAAAACATCAGCAGTCATTTGTTCATGGTAATCTTTCATAGAATTTGAAAAAAAATTCCAACCAGCCTCTGTCAACAAATCCTTTATCATCTCTATTTGGACAAACCTTCTATAAATGCCTGATGAGCATTTGTAACCTTTTATATTGTCAAACTTTTTTTACAAAATGTCTTCATTTATCCTTGTTTCATCCAAATAAAAAATATGTTTGTCTTCTCTTCTTAATTTTCTAATTTCCCTTAAATATTGCCTCCTCCAACAAATAATTTCATCTTTCTCTATGAGCACAGATTTTCTATCGTTCTTCTCCCAGACGAAGTCTAATTTTTGTTTTCAGGTTTTCCACAATTTGTTTTTTTTAACGGTTGGCAAAGTAGGTATCTTTTTTTGTAAATAAAACGAATGCATTTTTCTTCGGATCAGTTGTTTTATAGTACCGTCTATTTGAATGGGTTTTCTCCCAGTCGACGTTTTAGGTGCTATTGTAATCCTTCCATCCTTTCGTTGGTTCAAAAGTCTATAAATGCTTACTTTCCAACTCCGGTATATTTGAACACTTAGAAACTATACTCCGAACAGTACTATTGAAATTAGGGCTCGGAATTTTTCAGATTTTTGTATTCGAATATTCGACTATTCGAATATTCGACTATTCGAATACTCGAATATTCGACTATTCGAATATTCGAATATTCGACTATTCGAATATTCGAGTATTCGACTATTCGAATATTCGAGTATTCGACTATTCGTACATTCTAGTATTCGAATACTCGACTATTCGTACATTCTAGTATTCGAATACTCGACTATTCGAATATTCGAGTATTCGAATGTTCGAGTATTTGATTATTTGATTAACGTATAATTCATACCTGTTTGTTTTGGTATAATGCTTAGTTCTTAATTGATTCCACAAATTACTGGTATTACTTCTGTGTATGACATTGTAAGTACATAATTTACACTACACACGATTTTCTTTTTTATTGAAGTAAAGCCAAATCTTACTGCTTTCTGAACTCATATTTAACACCTGTAGCGGGCAAGCGTTGACTAGTAATAGTAAGTTATAAGTTATAACTTAACAAAAATAAACAAGCGTGTGAAAAGTGCGAATGTGAAACAACGTTGGGGTTCCCCTCATTTACCAAATACCAAGTCAGAATTTTGTTAGTCATTTTTCTTCTACCTTTATTTTTAAGCAATAGATAAAAAAGAAACATTTAAATTAGGTATATAAAATTCAAAATATATATCCGAATATTTGAACATTTACAGTATTCCGATATTTAAGTGTTCGAATAGTAGAATATTCGAGTATCGAATACCTAGTTCAATTAGTCGAATATTGAGTATTCGAATATTCAACTATTCGAATATTCGACTATTCGAATATTCGACTATTCGACTATTCGACT